CTGGTCATTAGTCCGTACCACGGCGGGTCACGGGAAATGCCGAAGGCTGCCTTGAGGCGAACGGGCCCCCTCTCAGCGGCGTCTGTGCTTATTGGATTGAATCACGACAGGTTAATTTGTGGGAAAGGGTTGGGCCGCCCTGCAGAGGTGCCCTATGTGCGGGGTTCTTCACCGTCGTGAGGCTGACTGTGCCGGAGCGGTGGCGTTTTCACTGAGCCCTGCCCGTCCGAGCCCGCGGCGGCACTGACTCTTAGTCTGAGTCAGAGTCGGAGCATGAGTCAGATGAGTTGGTCGGCGACTCCCGGGCGGGGCCGCCCGGCCGCGGCCGCGGCAGCGCTGGATTAAGGCCGCCGCGTCTGCCATCAGCGGCCGGCGACGAGCGGCCGCGAGGGGGAGGGAGGCCGTGCAGACGGCGACGGGCCGGCCGCACGGCCGTACATTCCGAGCCGGTCGCGCCGGCCCGGGCACATCCGGCCGGCCGCCGCCTGTGCCGACTTGTTCACGGCCGGCGTGTCTGGAGACGGCTGCAGCGGTGCCGGCCGGCGGCGGGCCTCAGACGGCGTCGGCACCGGGACCGGCCGTGTGGTGTGAGTGTGTGTGCCGGGGAGAGACTGCGCAGCTCCTCCTCGGGCGATCCCCGCCGCGGAGTGATCCTGTGGACGGGCGGGGTGTCCCTGCCGGCGACTGGCTGACTGACTGACCGGCTCACCGACTGGCGGAAGGGCTCGGTGTTGCCGCGGAGACGCCAGGTGTAGTCGGGCTTGGCGAGCCGGCACCAACAGAGCGGACCACGCTGCCGGTGAGTCCTTGCCGAATTTCGGTGGTGCTGGGTCAACAGAAACAGGTGCTTATCACTGCCATTCGGAATCCAGTAGCGTGCATGGTGAGCCGGTCAAGCAGGAGTTGGTCTGTCCATACAGCTCATGTAACGTTTAAGGTATCATTCACCCTGAAAAGGTCTGATATTTCAATGTCCCCGGCATGTCCGTCAGCTGGAAGTTGTTGATATTTTTTGGTTGCTTCTAGAAGGTCTCCTTGAATCTTGATCTGCCCATCATCGCGTTTAGCGGCAGAGACAGCACCTGTCAAGAGCCCTCAGTGCAAACCTGGCGACGGGTGGTTACGAGGCCGCCGCTACGTGCCTTGTCTGCATTCATGTAGAGATCAAGGTCAAGCTGCCATATAAGCCGCAGCTCGGATGATTGGCATGACGGTGGTAAGGATTAAAATGCCGGTTTTCTGCGATCAAGTGGGGTCCTGAATTTTACGAGTCATCGTCATGCCTTGCCATAAACTAAGCGTCGGAATGTCTCCGTCGTTTCTCCATCTATGGTCTCGACTGGACGCCCCACGGACGACAAGCGGTGTCATGGCGCTGTGTCAGCGACGCGCTTTCCCAGCTTCCGCCGCCTGTCGGCTGTATCCCAGCTCCCGCCGCCTGTCAGAGGCGGATCCCAGCTCCCGCCGCCTGTCAACCGGATCCCAGCTCCGCCGCCTGTCGGCTAGATCCCAGCTCCCGCCGCCTGTCGACTGGATCCCAGCTCCTGTCGCCTGTCTATGGGATCCCAGGTCCTGCCGCTTTTCGGCCAAATCCAAGCTCCCGTCGCTTTTTGACCCGATCCAAGCTCCCGTCGCCTGTCAACTGGATCCCAGCTCCTGTCGCCTGTCGACCGGATCCAAGCTCCCGTCACCTGTCGACTGGATCCCAGCTTCTGTCGCCTGTCGACCGCATCCAAGCTCCCGTCGCCTGTCGGCCAGATCCCAGCTCCCGCCGCCTGTCGGCTGTATCCCAGCTCCTGCCGCCTGTCAGCCGGATCCCAGCCCCCGCCGCCCGTCGGCTGTATCCCAGTTCCCGCCGCCTGTTGGCTAGATCCCAGCTCCCGCCGCCTGTCAGCCGGATCCCAGCTCCCGCCACCTGTCGGCTGTATCCCATCTCCCGCCGCCTGTTGGCTGGATCCCAGCTCCTGTCGCCTGTCTATCGGATCCCAGCTCCGCCGCCTGTCGGCTGGACCCAAGCTCCCGTCGCTTTTCGGCCGGATCTAAGCTCCCGTCGCCTGTCAACTGGATCCCACCTCCCGCCATCTGTCAACCGGATCCCAGCTTTCGCCGCTTGTCGATCGGATCCCAGCTCTGGCCGCTTGTCGATCGGATCCCAGCTCCCGCCGTCTGCCGGCCGGCGGCCGGTCCCGCGGGACGCCGGGCGCCGGCCGACCTCTCCTGCCACGGACGCCACGCGCCGGCCGACCTCTCCTGGCACGGCCGGTCCGATCTCGGCCGGCTGAGCGGCCGCTGATTGTCTTGCGCCGCCGCGGGACGAGCCGGCCGACCTGCCCGGTCAAGGTCGCCACCGGCCGGGGATTGATCGGGCCCGGCCCGCGGCGCGGTCGGCCGGCGCCGTGCAGAACGCCGGCTGGCTAAGCTGTGAACGCCTGACACCCTCCCGAGAGAGCGTCAGGAAGGCGTCCCGTTCGAGCGCTCTGACGTGGGCGGCGCCCTGCCAGAGCTCGTTAGTTGTGGGATTCTGGGGCGCGGCGACTGTTGCGGGGCGTTCGCGCCCACGAGCCGCTGCACAGCGGTCTGTCAGCTGGTGCGCATCGGACTCATAAATGCTCGCCCGCGGAGCTAGTCATATCGGCGACACGGCCCATTTATTATCCTGCAAGTCCCGGATAATGAACCTCCCTAAAGGGAGGTGTGGATTGATGTGAATGCCAGTGTTGGTGTCAAGTTGCATATCAATGGCGAGCGCTGGATACGTGGAAAAGAAAGCGGTTCAATTGTGGAAACAACATCACGATAACATATTTTTGCAAACACCACGTGCATGTGCATGTGACTAAGTTCTGTATATTTTACTTTCTCCGTCGTAATTCGTAGTTGGTATTCTCTGGAATTATTGCCGTTGCTGTTATCAACTCGGTGCTCTGTTGATTTGTTGCATATTTAGGGACACTTAGCTGTGCGTTGGTTTTGGCATGGGGTATGTTTTGTCTGTGAAGGTTCATGGCGCCGTATTTCCACCACGCCGGCCTTCGGACAGTCTCATATTTTCTTTTGCGCCCTACTGAAAGCAGCGTAAGGAATGCAGTGGAATGGATTGAGACCATTCGACGGCGAGGAATCTTTTCCGCTGCATGCAGACGGCCTCGTGGAGGCACGCGCTATGCCTTACATGCTAATTTTCAGACAGGAGCATGCACATGATTTCGGACGTATTGTGAGCATGGTCTGAATACACTAGTTCAACACGTTTCCCGTTCAATCACCTAAATTGGACGTTTCATGACTTTTGATCCGGGATTTCATGTGTTGTTCCTCAGTTACTGGGGGCAGATTTCATTCAGTCTCGCTCGTTACCCGAGTGCTCTTTCCGCCTGGTGATACACGATATGCGCTCCGGCACGGCAGCCGGGATTGGGCTGAAAGAGCCGCACCACCGCCGGCTGAGGTGACCTACTCTACCGCCGTGACCTCCGACCATGATGCCGCGCCGCCGCCGGCTGAGGCGACCCACGGCTGGCGGTCACGGCCCAGCACCGCGCCGCCTCTGCCGCACACCGGAGCCCTGGCGCGGCACGGCGCGCCGCCGGCCGCACGCGGCGGCTGGCGCCACCTGGGCGATCTGGAGGCAGGTGGCGCTGCAGGCATCCGCTGGCTTCAGTGCCCTTGGCTGGGGCTGGTTGTCGGTGCACTCTTGAGAATATAAACAAGGCTCCGCTCTCTCCGTTGCGTTGTCGACGTCTCATTGTAGCCCCAATAGACTCCGGTACGGGGAGCGTATAAGGTGTAGACCCTGGGAAGTGTAAAACTTCATGTGAGAAGGTAGTCTCTTGCCATAAGGAGGGAGTTGCTCGCATATGTTTCCGCTTTGTTTGTTTGTTACGTTGCATTGCGTTGCGCGTTTCGCGGTTGTGCGTTTAGGATGCTTATGAACGTGTTAAGCGCACTCAGCACACCAAATCAATATTTATATTAAGTTCGTGCAAAAATATGGAATGGAGGACGGTGCGTGGTTTTTTGGTTGCGTGATGAAGACATACAATTATAACTGAAATGCTCAGTACGCGTGGGTTCAGCTGCTCCATTGGGCACGGAAGTGGTATGCTTGCATATTTGCGCTGCTGGACTTGCGACTTTTGGAGGGGATATGTTGCGTCGAGGTTCCCAATTACGTTTCGAATGTTAACTTTTCTGTCTTTTTGAACACTTACGGTGATGTTCGGTTTGACGTTCAGTATACCAGGAGGCGGCGGTTTAAGAGCAGTTATGAAACATTTGTTGGCATATATTGTGAAAGAACTCATGTTTTCAGTCGTGTTCATTGTCCATATCCACTAGCCACACTCGTCTGATTGTTATCACTGACGCTCTTCAGAAAGACGAACAATCAGAAGCTCAAGGGGTTCTTGCTTACTTCTATGTGGTTACGGTATGATCTTGGTTTTCACCTCCATGCTGTAATTCAGATGACCAATTGTCGGTTGTCGCTATCGTGTGCAAGTTCGCTTGAAGCATGTTTGAGGGCACGAACAGCGCCCTGTGCTATCGATGGCGGCAACACTGCGTTCGTTCCTGGGCTATGGGCTTAAGTGGAGCTGCGCTCTCCGAGCCGCGTACGTCCTGGGGCTTGTCTCTTACTCCCGAAATCGCGTGCCGCGTTAGGAGTCAAATCAAATCGTTTAAACGAAGTTAAAGATTTGGGAGCCAGTAGACGTCCCTCGAGGGGACGTCTCGTGACACCGCCACGCCCTATGTGGAGCGTGGGCGGCCTGTGGACTCCGCCATGCCTCACGTGGAGTTTTGGTGGCCTGTGGATTCCGCCATGCCGCATGCGGAGTGTTGGCGGCCTGTGGATTCCGCCGTGCCGCATGTGGAGCGTTGGCGGCCTGTGGATTCCGCCATGCCGCATGTGGAGTGTTGGCGGCCTGTGGATTCCGCCATGCCGCATGTGGAGCGTTGGCGGCCGGTGGCCTGACCGGTGCTGCCGCTGCCGTTCGCAGGTGCTGACTGCCGAGTGAATGGTGTGCGCGTGCGCATGAGAGCGTGACCGCTCGCCATGGATACGCTGAGTCGCAGCTGGGGCCGGCCGTGCCGCACGTGCGGCCAGCACCACGCGCGCCACGAGCCGCATGTGTACGACTACGTGGAGGAGGTGGACGAGGACCTGACGTGTCACATCTGTCTGCAGCCGCTGGTCGGGTAAGTGCTGCTCCCCCCCCCCCCCCGCCCGCGCCACCCCTCGGCGCCACCTCCGGTACCCGCGGCCGTGACTGTGACGCGTTGGATGGGCTCGGGGAACGTGCGAGGCGTGTCGAAAGGGGTTTTGCGGCGATCCGTCGAGGTCGGATCACCTACGTGGTCGAGCCACCTACCCATGAGAAGTACCTACGCTGATAGGATGAGTGGCACAGGGCCGGTGAGCCCGCGTGATGTGGTCGGCTCGGGTACTGGGCGCGGTGAGCTGACGTGTCTCTGGCTCCCGTGTCGTTCGACACGTGAAGTGCGGTCTTGCCGTCCTGTGACCGCTTGTACTAACGTCTCAACGGGCGGGTGGCGGCGTCGGTGTATGTGACCTGGGTCAGGTCGGTGCCTCTGGCTCTCCCCGAGTCACTGCCTGTATTGTGTGGGGTGTTGGAGGACCCAATCTCGCTCGCTGGTCGCCAAAGACCCCGTTAGGCGTGCATTAAATAGGCATCAAAATACAACGCTTGATGTGTGCCTGGGGTCGGGTCGGGTCGAGTCGGGTCGGGTCGGGTCGGGTCCCTCGGGCCCAGCCCCTGACGCTGTGCCCACCGCCACAGGTCGCTGGACACGCCCTGCGGCCATACGTTCTGCGGCGCCTGCCTGGTGCCGTACCTGAACTCGCACCAGAACTGCCCCATCTGCCGAGCGGCGCTCACCACGCAAGCGTGCCGCTCCTCCCCGCTCGTGCTGCAGAAGTGAGTAGCCAGTCGCCGCCCTCGTCGCTGTGAGGGCTTCTTCAGTATGTTTGCCATCGTCGCACCACCTGCAATGTGGCAGACGGATCCCATCACGCCACCTCCACGCGTTCCGCAAATAACTCCTGGTCCGCTCCGGCGCTCTCTTAAAGTTGCAAGTGTCGGCGGTGCGATGGTGAGGTAGTTCGCCGTCCGCGAGCCCCAGTCGTCGTCAGCGGCCGCGGCGACCGGCCGCGTGTCCGCACCGCGCTCCGGCGGCGGCTGCGGCCGATTGGACACATGCTGCGGCGGCCGCGGCCGCCCACGGCCGCCCGCGGCCGCCCGTGGTAGCCCGCGGTAGCCCGTGGTAGCCCGCGGTAGCCCGTGGTAGCCCGCGGTAGCCCGCGGTAGCCCGTGGTAGCCCGCGGCGGCGGACGGCGGCCAGTGCACAGAGGGCGTCCTCGTCTCGGCTGTAACGTGGCCGCCGCTAGTACGGGACGGCGGCGCGTGTCGGGGGCGATGCGCTCGCTGTCCGGACCCCAGTGAGCTCGAATCGCTTTTGAACTAGGGTGGGAGTGAAAAATTCCTTCAGAATAGACCGTGCGAGAGTGAAAAATTAAATTATCAAAAGATGGAACTTATGGGCTAGTGAGAGATGCTTCAGCGAACAAAGATATACATTTCAAGTGGGCATGGACGCAATATCATAAACCTTACAAAACTATTTTTTTAAGATATCAGGCCATTAAAGTGAAACAGAATGAAGTAAAGCATAATGATTTCATAACAGTATAATGAACATAAAAACTATCTTACACCAACCATTTGATGCTGCACTTTGCACTTCCCTTCCATAACATTTCTCAACACAAAGCAAAGCAAAGCAATTCAACAACAAACCAACAACAGAAAATTCAACAAGCATAAAGCACTCTTTCCCCGAAAGTAGCCAAATATGCCTAACCTGACGAGGCCTTACTTCATCTCATCCCGTTTAACCTGTTTGTACCACGGCATCATTTGGGAGTCACTGATTCTTGGACAATTTTTATTTCCACTTGCCATGTAATTTACCAACTTAACCTAACTTAGAGTAGCCCACATGTTGAACATCATTTCAACTCACCTCACCTATCTGTTGATAGCAGCACTTGTGATAAAAACATGATAGAGATCATCTTTGGCTGGTTTCAACTTCCATTTTAATTCAGTTCATTTGTGTCAGCTTGTGACACCAGGCAAAGTTAACAACACACAAATAAAAACACTTCGAATCACTCTGAACAACGAATTCTGAGTGCATGGTTAACCTATGTGAAGGGCAATATTGAGTATGCTCCACAAAACAATCTGTTCTCCAAAATAGCATAACTTTTAGATGACTATACCAGTGTTTCTGCTTGTCTTTTCAGCTGCAGCAAAAGCATCTATTTAGGTTTGTCCATTCATATTTAATGACAAAGTTGGAGATATTGGCTTTATATTTTGAATGGGATGGTCTGACTTCTTGCAGCATACTGATATTTACCTCATATTATATTTGCTATGCTGCTTAGAGTATCCCTGTGTTAAAAATATAGTGCATTTATACTGTACAGTCATTTGCCAGTCAGCAAACCATGTCAACTATGGACAGCATCTGGTTAAAACAACCATGATGGACCACTTCAAGAAGTTTGAGGCAAAAAATCGAGAACATGGAACTAAATAAGCCAGTTATATGCCTTGTGGCATCATAATTTGTCCTATGACAACGCTGGAAATATTAAAACAGAAAATGGCTGACTCTGGGTACAAATCATGTGTTGAAAGCAGGTAAGGTAGGCTATTACTTGCTCCACAGGAGACCTACTGGCTTTATAGAGGTACACTTCTTCCTGCTACCCCCGCCCCCTAAACAAAAAGTCGGTACCATTCGCATGGCTTGCTGACAAGGTCATCCCACCCACCCCTAAATATAAATATCAATCATGTCCACCAACCTACGAGATAAAAATGCGGCACAAGTAAGAGGTGTGCATGATAAGCAGTTCCTGAGCACAGAATCTCGCCATCAGACACTTCTGTATTAGCTGCGTCAGGTCTGTCCCAAAGCCATGTATGGCAGCATAACGTAGCCTGGTCAGACAGCGTGGTAAAGGCTTACTGGAGGTTTAACAGGGCAAAAATGGAGGTAAAAACAAGTTTCGTGCTTCAAGCTGTTTCTTGATTCCCCGTAAACTGTTCACGCATGGGTGCGTATTAAACATATTTTGGGCGGCTGGCGAATTAATACGATTTCTGTATAAAATACGTGCAATTTTGCAGATGGAGCATTTTGCAGAGAAATTGGTCAACATTTTAAGCAACAGATGGTATCTTTAAGGGCAATCGAAAAGGAAAGAATAATATAGTGATATCACACTCGTATGATACCAAGACAAACAAAAGTAACTAACTAACTATAAAGACTGATAACTTTTTGGCAAAATTTTTGTAATCCGCTGATTTGACTTAAAATCTGTGAACATGAGCGCTGAAGCGGTGATATTCATCTCGTGAATTTTATTAAGGAAACATTTCTTGATTGTTCATTCCTGCATTTCGGGAGTGATGCAATTTAGTGGTCAAGTTTCTTCGCGTAAAAGAAATACGTGGAGTAAAATTATCTACCAAGCTTTGCTGGTGTTTGCACCAGACTCTGCTTTCGTGGTGTGGTGGTGAGACCAAAAATGTTGTGGATGCGTGAAAACCTTGCCTTTGGCACACAGCTGCCGATTGTGATGCATTTTGTAAACAAACCAAACTTGACACATGCAAGCGACTGAAGTCGCTGGGGCTCTTGGGCTTGAGGGTACCTGGCGCCCTTGCTCTGTGCATACATATACATGATCCAGATGTAGGTGAGGCAGGACATAGCCATAGGTGTCCAGGTTCTGTGGAGCCTTGTTTATGCTTGATGGTTTCAAGTGAGCTTGGTTTTGAATGACATCTGAGAGACTCAGAAAGGGAAATATGGGTTTGGCATGTGCGACTGGACAATATTACATAAGAGTGAAAAATTCACATCGAATAAGGGGAAAAAGAGTGAAAAATCCCTCCTCATAGGGTGTTGCTTCACACCCAAAGTCGGCAGTTCTAGGACGCTGCCGGGCCCTATGTCTGGCCGGCCGCCGCCTGACGTCAAGGGCGCAGCCGCCGCCGGCCGACCGCTCCGGGTCGTGGCTGTCGCACGGGGACGAGGACGTGGTGTGGCGTGCGTTCTCTGGCTCCAAGCAGGTGCTGTCAGCTTGCTCAAAGTTAGACTGGCCAAACGCATGAGATCGGAATATCACTGGCGACCATGGAATTGCGCCAAGCAAACTTAGAGTGATCAAGTCAAACCTAGGCGAGTGGCAATCCCTCTCAACACGACAATAGAAAAGAGAAATTTAATCTGCGCCGCATCTGCATAGGTCACACGAACGGGACGCACATGGTTTCCTCATCTCGGCAGAGCAAGCACCGAAATATGTTCGCTATTATCACGCGCTGTTCTTTGCTCATGTCCTCGTGCATTGCCCTCACTTCGCCAGCGAGAGGTATCGTCACTTCGGCCGTCATATGCAACGTAGATTGTCCTTGCGTTCACTCGTAGGCGAGGACCCTACTATCGACATGAGAGCAGTTATTGCATTTGTAAACGACATTGAGCTCACGATTATTTGTTCACCCTTACGGCCTCTTTTGACGCCGCACGACCCTGGTTGAAAGCACCCTGGCGTACTTACCCTGCACTCTGCGTGTTGCTACCGTTCATTTTGCACGACTTGCGCCTTTTGGACACGCTTCTGAAACATACAAAGCGAAAAGGCTCTTCCGTGTCGTCTTCGCACCGGCCATACCAATGAAACATATGGTGTATTGGTATCAGGAGGTCAAGCCCCACGACTCCGCGTTGTGACCACCCGCTGTCAGTTGCCCACGCGCGGGTTCAGTGTCGCCAGCGCACTGTTGAGCGTCAGAGATGCTTTGGCTGCAGCACGCGGCGCAGACTGTCCCAGCGTTCCCTCATTGTTGACGTCACCCTGACGAACCCTGTCGTTGACGTCAAATTCGCTGAAACGTCTATGCATGACATCGGTTTTAGAGTCATTTTCACGCTTGTTTGATGGCCCTTGACTCTGTGTTGTGTTGATGACTGTGTCTGTGTACCTAGTGGGTACGCCACGGATGGGCGGGACACATGATTAGCAATTAACATGGTTAATGGCGCAAAATAACCGCTGCGGTCGAATCGCCGCCAAACCCAAACATCATCACTGAACGCGTCCGCACCATCCAGGAGCGTGCGGTCCTCAGCTGGACCGCACGTGCTCTTACCCATCCCAATTTCACAGGCGATTCGCCAAGGATTTGTTCTGGATGTGTTTTTGCGGCGGAGATTTCGTCAGAAATGGCCTTTCATGTGAGGAAATTGTCGGATAGATGTGCGAGGGAGACCGCAGCTGTGGACATCATAACGATCGCAGATGGTGTTCGGCGCAGCTGCATATTGTCATAAACTAAGCTGGAGAACGTCCCGCGCTGAGTTTGCCTCGCACGTGACACGTTCGACTGAGCACACTGGACTTGGGTTGAGCGGAAACGGGGAGAAGGAATAATGGAACGTTTTAGTGAGCTGGATTGAAACAGGACATTGCGCGCGGCCCTGTGCACACATCCACCATAACAGCCGGGACCCTGTGCAGCTCAGGCGGCTTTGCGTCCTCAAAGGCCAAGCGAATTTTCAGCTGGCAGTTGCTTTCAAGGAGGCTTCCAAAATGGAACACCGCAGAGTAACGACGCGCACATGTACACCCTGATGGGCCCATCGTTCCAATTGCAGACCCATGTAAGCATTACTTGTTACCACAGGACTTTCTGCCACGCAGAAATCCTTTTACATAACTCATCGCCGGAAGCAGCCCGATATTGTCTGCGGTGTCGGCGCCATACGTGTTTTTTTATAACGGGATTCGTCCAGGCAAACACTCAGACATGGAGCGTACAACCAGCCAGCGGGCCGCCCGCTGGTGGCAGTCTGTTCAGACGCGTTTTATTCTATTCATTGTTTGCTTAGAGAAGGGGCCGCGACACATGTCGCACGATTTTGAAGGGTGCCAGCGACTGGAGAGGCAGCGCTCAAACGCCTCTGGCACAGCGGTGCTTCGAACCCAGGCTCCCCGCTCCGGAGCCGAAGGCGCCAGCCACGCGAACGCGGACACGAATGCGTCCAGCTAAAGCCTGCTGGTGACGCGCTCGGGGCAGCACTCGGCGCCGCTCCACGTGTGCGTCATTGTCCGGCGGTTCGCCGTGTTTTTTAGGGAGGGTGGAGGGGCGGGGCGGCACACCTCGGTTGACTGTGGATAGGGCGGCGCCTTCGGAGGCGGATCGGCGCGTTGGCATTTTGGATCGACGATGACAGGTCCGAGCGGGATATATCGTGTCTCCGGAGCGGGATATGCCATGCCTCCAGAGCGGGATGTCATGTTTTCAGAGCGGGATATGTCTTTATGGTGTGACTACGCGCAATGCTTTGGATGCTATTGTAAGCTGCGGCGACGAATACTGCACTCAGTTTAATGCGTCTCTATTTGTCGTGGCACTTACAAGTATGAGATGTCGTTGGATGCGTTTCACAGATGTTTGCTTTTTGCCCCACCCCTAAGCACCCGAACAAGCCCGGCGTGGCATAAGGAGAAGAAAGGGGCCTAATAGGTTATAGATCTGCTAGTATCACGCGTATCTCGAGCATGTTCCTGGGCGTATAGCCCCTGTCTTTAAAATTATATATATATATATATATATATATATATATATATGTAAAGTCGGACTATGCTAACGATTTTTGTGGTGTTTTGGTGTGGCGACATCTTTATTTATTTCGGCCAAAAGCTTATATTTGTTGGAACTAACTGCTGTTGGACTAACTAACTGCGGTGACCACATGGACACACGTTCTGAATTGACTGTCATGAGCTGCATAACCATAGCTGTCGAAAAGACCCGAAAAATCAATCACCCATCATGGGTTTTCACTTTTTACATTGGCACGCACGCTGCCTGTCGGTTTGATCGATGTCCAAACATCCATGCGTGTCAATGCTGTACCCATTGCCGGCGCTATCTGTTCATTGTGCGGCCGCCGACGCGACGTGCGTGCGCATTTGCTTCACGCCAGGGCTGCGCTTTTGGCGGTCCACCTAACCCCGGCAGCGCAGGCCGTCCCCGGCCCGGCGGCGCCCCGCCACAGCGCCGGCCGGCTGGCGACGTGTCGCCGCCAGCGACGGCGGCCGCCTCGCCGCGAGCTGCCTCATTGGTAGGCTGGTCGTCGCCGCCCGCTCTAATAAGCCAACCGTGCTCCGGTGTCGCGGCGGCCGTCGACAGGCGTCGGCCGCCGTCGGCCGCCGTGTCCCGCTCAAAGGGAGCGCACGGGTCCGCTGTCCGTCCCGGCTCGGCTCAAGTAGTGCTTTGACGCCGGCGCTCGTTCTTCGCGACCGTCGTAGTGTCGCGGTGTCACGCCTAGGGACTACCAATGGTTGCGTGCAGGCATGTGACAGGTTTCCGCCCAGTGCGCGCTGGCAGCGGCGTTGTCGGTGGCCGTTTATGTCTGTGCATCGTGCTGCGCGGCGCTTTGCTGGCGGTCGGCCGTATCGATGGCTGCGATGGGGCAGCGCGGCTCGGCGGCTGTGGCGTGCCATCAGCGCCCGATCAGGCACGAGCCCCTGCACGTCAAACTCGGTGTGTCCCGCCGTCCCTGCCGTGTGGTCCGGCGGCGCGTCAGGGGCCGCTCAAGCTGCAGTCCGCCGCTGCCCGGCGGGCGCCCGCCGGAGAGCGAGAGCGGGGGACGGGACCGTGCGGAGCGGGCCCGTCTCGCAGCCTGACTGCGTGCGACGAGAGCCGGAGTCGTAGCCGCGCTGCGTAGTCGTGAGTCAGCTGTCGTGACGCCGTCGCTGCTAGTGACCAGCGCCGGGCCGGTGCCGGCTCCGGTCCCGGCTCGGGCTGCCGCCGCCGGGCGCCGGCATCGGCCCGGGCCCCGGCTGCGGCCGCGGCCCGGCTCGAGTTGCCGCCGCCGGAGACGATCAGCTTATTATCGCCGGTCGGTGATTTGTGGCCTGCTGGGGCTGGCCGACCGACCTCGCCGACCGACGTTCGGTGATGAGGTGTCGGACGTGACGGCCGGCGGCGACGCGGCTCTGTCACGTGACTCCGGACGGGACGGCGCCGCCCCGGGCCGCTGAGACGTGCTGGGGAGGCGCCGTCGGAGCTGGCGCGAAGACACGATCGGCCGAGCTCGGCTAGGCGCTGGGCGGTGGGCTCCACGAGGTAGGGGAAGCCGCGCAGGTTGCATTTGTGCCGCCCGGTTGTGCTGGGGGAGGTCGGAGGACACCTGAAACTGAATCCTCCGTTCGTGCGCGCTGCTCACTCTGCAGCCGCGGCGAGCGCGTTGTTACCACATCGACATCCTCCTTCTCAGCTCGGGGCTTTGCAGAGCGTGACGAGCAGGCTGTTAGGCAGCGTGCGACCGCCGCCCGCCGCGCCGCTCCGTGTCGGCTGCCGGTGCGCCCCAGCTGGCGCCGGCCGACGGCCGTGTTTTTCGGCCGGCCATCGCCATTCAGTCGGCGTGCGTCGGCCTCGACGGACGCCTCTGTTTACTCGGCCAATTCCCGGAGAGCCGGTCCCGGCCGCGGCGCGAAGGCATCCCGACAGGCGCCGCGCGCCGTCGGCCCGCTCCAGCGGCGCCGGGGTGGGGCCCGGCGGACCGGACCGGCGCCGGTGCGCCACGTGCCGCCCGTGCGGCCGAGTTTGTCCAACAAGGCGCGTCAGCCATGGCTGCCGCCGGACTTGGCGTCAAGTTTGGTGGCCCGGCGGTGCGCGCGAGCGCCGGGTTGGTTTGATTGCGGTCTGGCAGGCTGGTGGATGCACCTGTTGCACTGCCGTGGGGGACCGGCGGGGCCGACCCCTGCCCGCTCATAGACATCGGAGGCTCGAGTCGTTACAAGTCGCCCGTCGTGCACTAGGGTCTATGAGCGGATGGGGTCGGTGGTTTGGGCCTGGCTGCCGCTGTGGATGCGTCACGGGCGCAGGACGGCCACCAAAAATAACATGCTGCCACTTTTTGATTCACATAACCTTGATAGATTCCCTTTTTGCTGGGATGGCATTGAGATTGGGGCACTTCAAAGGCTCCAGCCCCACCAGCCCAGAAGAGGAATGCCATTTTAACGAACGACTTTTGCTGACGTTTAATGCGCGCTGCGATAGCGTGACACGACGGGCATTTGCGCCAGCCGAACCCGTTTGGCCGATAGCAGTTGGGTCGCTATGACCGGTCGCTTGAGCGCGTTCTCTGAGACGCGAATGCACATGTCGACCACAGCGGTTTAAGTCTGCCAAACAGTAGTCACATATGTCCGCCACGGGTGGTTAGATATCCGGCACTCGGCCACCAGCTGAGCTTCTGGGACGGCTATGGACTGACAAATACTCGGACCTTGGTGGTGCCTCGGCCGCACCCGGCCTGGACGGCTGGCCCCTGTGACAGATGGCAGTGCCGGTAGCTGCGTGAGCTGGACTGGCGTGGGATCATCGCTCGCCTTCGGGTGTGATGATCTGACTTGCAGGCGGCTCGGGCCTGGCGCCCAAGTTGTCAGGTCCTTGCAGTGCCGTCATCACAGGCCGGTCGTGAATCGTCCATCTTCATCAGTGCCTACATAATGCAAAGTAATAGGCGTTGTCAGCTGTTGTTCCGCGTAATTTGTCAACGAAATGGCCTGGCATCATTTAAAGCAAGTAACATGAGTAATCCTGCTTGATCCATTGGGCGCCGCATTGATAGATTCCCTTGCCTCGTAATTGGCAACTTAAACTTTAACCCTTTCAACCGCCTCGGTAGTATTTTTTTATTCGTTCGGCGCCTATTTTCTTTCCTCTCCGGTTGGTTGTGAAATGGTGGCGATTGTCGTGCATCGTCCGATATTTCGTCTGTTGTGATACCCTACGTCGTTGTGAACCCAACAGCGGAACGCCACTCCTGAAATTGGATTTGTTTGGTGTCGGCGGCGGTCGAGGATATCCCGGCTGTGTCGATACCGCGCGTCTCCGCTGCTGACATGCTACCGCGTGCGCGTGTTTCAGAATTTTGGAGAAGCTGCTGGTGAAGTGTCCCAACGCGGACCTGTGCAAGGAGGTGGCCTATGCCAGGGGCGACCTGGAGGACCACCTGAAGAACCGGTGAGTGACGCCGCTGCCGCTGCCGCTGCCGCCGCTGCCGAGGAGGCGGCCGGCGGCCTGTGGCGTATTTCGGTCGACGCCGCTCGTTACAATCACGATGGCTGGCCGGACGGGCGCCGGGGGAACGGTGCTCGGGCCCGTATCAGGCCGAGATGCTGCCGCGCCGGCCTGTGAGCGGCACGTGCAGCCGCCGACGGAGCTCCAGCGCGGACGGCCGGGCGGTGCGGGCCGCCAGAGACGGCTGCAGGACGGCCCGCGCTACTGTTGCCAGGGTCTGGAAGCGGGCTGCCGGGCGACGCGTGCTCAGGCCGGACGGGGCTCCCCGCTGAGAGACGTCCCGATGTCAGCGCCGGCCACCAGTCGATCTCCTGGAGTTTGATCGCCGGCGACGCGCCGCTCGTGAGACAGGAGCGGAGCCGCTGCCGCCGTCGCCGCCGGCCAACCTGACGACCCCTGGGACCCGGGGACCCCTGACGACCCCGGGAACCCGGCGCTTTCCGCTGGCCGACGGCCGCCGCTGGACGTTCAGCCGGGTCGCTCAGCGCCAGGGGGGGGGGGGGGGGGGCACTCGGAACGGCCGTCTCGATCGGAAGGAATGGGAGCCGGCCGGCACTGGGGCGTCGTCTCTCAGGGCGGCTGGCTGCGTGCGGGGTGACCTTTGGCGTCGATCCACCTCGCCCGCCTGGTGAGGTCGGACCTGTGTTGTGCTCTGGGGCGCACGCGCCTTCCCAGCGCTGCTCTACGGTCCCGTCCCAGTCAGGTTCAGTGGAAATTCGCGTTTTGCCGCACGTGCTCGGCTCGTGCGACCGCGTCCGGCTTGGCAATGCAGCCCGCGAGGGTAAGCGATCTCTTTCAGCCTGTCGGGCACGACATCAGTCGACCTCAATATCTGGCGCTGGCGGCCTCCAATTGCGTTCAGTGCAGCACATCTGTAATGATTGATTCGATTGGTGTACGACCAGCCCAGCGTGTTATTCGGCGCACCGTCCGGCGGTCCTCGTCGGCGGTCAGGGCCGCCGAAGCCGCGGCGGCGCTCGCCGCCGGTGTGACGTCATGACTGACCTGTCGGCCGGGCAACTCTCAGTGGGGCAATATGTCCCGGATTGGTGCGGTTTCAGCCGGGAATTGCAACCGTGTGGTGATTACATACCTGTGTCTGTAATCTGCGGCTGCGGAGGAATGGCAGCTTGCGGAGATTCTGATTTACATTTGCGTCCGCAATGTCAGAGGTCTGAACTACAACATGAGTAACGTTCTGCCAGTATAAGCTTGCGTTATGGCTCTACGAAAGGCCAGTTTTCCTGCGCTGCCTTTGCTCGTAGCTGTTTCGACGGTGTCTCCCCCTGTGTCGCACATCCCGCGCGCGGGTGTGGCCAACCAGAGATGACAGTGGCGGCGTGTTCGCCCCGCAGGTGCCAGGGCAACTTCATCGCGTGTCGATACGCGGCGCACGGCTGCCAGGTGCGCGGCCCGCAGAAGGCCGTGCACAAACACCAAGCCGACTGCGAGTACAGGAACAACGGTGAGTGTGGCGTGGCCCGAGACACCGCGCCGACGGCGGTGCACCCCCACCGGGCCGATCCACCGCGCCGCCGACAGTGCACCCCCACCAGGCCGACCCACCGCGCCGCCGGCGGTGCACCCCCACCGGGCCGATCTACCGCGTCGCCGGCGGTGCACCCCCACCGGGCCGACCCACCGCGCCGCCGGCGGTGCACCCCCACCGGGCCGATCCACCGCGCCGCCGGCGGTGCACCCCCACCGGGCCGACCCACCGCGCCTCCTGCGGTGCACCCCACCGGGCCGATCTACCGCGCCGCCGGTGGTGCACCCCCACCGGGCCGATCTACCGCGCCGCCGGCGGTGCACCCCCACCGGGCCGACCCACCGCGCCGCCGGCGGTGCACCCCCACCGGGCCCACCGCTCGAGGCGTCTGTCGCGCGGTCGAGGGATGCGGGCTCGACTTCCGCACCGGGTAGTGGGAGCGTGTGTTTCTGCCAGATGCGTACGATGGTGAAGAATGGTACCAGCGGCCAGGCTGCCTCCTGATTTGGAATAATGTCAGAGTCGCTTCTAAATTTGACACGACGGAGCGAGGCAATCGGGTTTTACAAGTTCTTTGACAAGTAAGAAGCAGGAGTCGTGAGTGGTGGAGCCAGACACTAGGCAGATCTTTAAGAAACTCGGAGAAGAGGGAGTGGGCACCGAGTGACGCTTGTTCAGTGTTGTAGCCACTGGATGATTTGGACCAGCTGAAGAGAACATCATCATCAGCTAATAGCCTGTTGCGTCCTGGCCGCTCGCACTCGCATCCGATGCACGGTGTTATGCGCCATTTGACCAACGCAGTCGGCGCGCCCCGAAACCCAAATGATCATCATCGTCATCGATTGAACACGCCCGAAAGCCCCAATACTGCTCTTCTATTGAACACTGGGTAATGCGTCTCGTTGCGCAAACCTGTGTGCCTTCAAGTCTTGTCCATAGATTGGGTCGTGTGCTTTCAACGATTTCAATTGAAATCCTCTCCACGAAAATGATTCCCTGATCGAGTCTTGCTGTCGGACGTCGACTCGGAACGGCATTCTGCCGCTATCGAGACGGGACGGTAATGAACTACATCATGCTCGGGGGGTCCGAGGCGGAACCACTTCCCCTGCAGTGGGGTCGGCCGGCGTCCACCGCCTAGCCCGCGGCCCGGCGCTCGAGGAGCGTGCAGGTCACGGAGCTCGTCAGTGTCATCAGCGCCGACAGCCCGGCAGATGTACTCGCGGCGGCGGCGGCGGCTCTGGGAGCGCGTCGCCCTGGCCGGGACGTGAGGCGGGCGGTGCGGTATCAGGCGTGTCGCCGTGTCGAACAGGCTCGGATAGGGCACGGGCACGCTCGGCGGGCCCAGCGCCGTGCCGAGATGGCCATGGTAATCAGGCGGCGGCGTGCTGTCGGTCGCGGCCGCGGTCCAGGCCCGTGCCAGGCTGGGCGGGATGGAATTCATGGAACACCGATGACCACTTGCAGCTCGTGACGGTAGTCGGACGGGTACGAGGTCGTCGCCGGGCCGGCCTGTGCGTCCTTGGCCCTTGGGCTGGTCCTTGGTTGGATGTGTTGCTCGGTTCCAACCGTTCACTCGCCGATTTTGGCCGTAAAAGTCGTGCGTGCGTGAGCGCGTGCTTGCGTATGTGGGTGCGTGCGTGCGTGCGTGCGTGCGTGCGTGCGTGCGTGCATGCGTGCGTGCGTGCGCATTTGTGTATGCTGAATGGAATTTACGGCTTGTGAATAATTACGTGTTGAGTCCACATCTGTAGTAATTGGCTAATCACGTCAGTTTATGGGCTGTCGGTAATCCTAATAACCGTCATCGGTACCTGGTGATAATGATGCTATTTTGGATTGTGCAAAGTGGAGGCACGACTGTCGATCTCATCATTCACCGCCAGCGCGGCTTGCAGCGTAGTTGGTGCTCGGGCCACTGAAGTGTTCAACATTGAGCTGAATGACTAACGTGCGACACATCCGGCAGTGTTGGCCAGTCATGCGCTTGGACCCACTGGCTCCAAATTTGTGTGTCGTGGCTGAGCGATAGTATTGGCTACTATTGTCCGGGCCGACTACGAGCCAGCTGTCAGAATGAGCAGCCAGCGGCGCAGTCAGCTGTTTTCCTTCCTCGCAGATGTCATGTTGGACTAACCAAGCACTCGTCAGTTGCTCAGGCACGGCTGTGAACATGCTGGCCCCAAAGATGGCGGTGCAGGATATAATGCAGATCACCATTCATCACATCAATACTGTTTTTTCAGTTTCCTTTTTGTCTCGTGTTGTCGTGGCGTGACATGGAAATATTAGGCAGAATTCTTCATTTCCGATGGAAGCGGATAGGGCGTGGTAGATCATCTCCAATACATATGTGCGATGTGGTTGTGATGTTTTCGTTTTAGGTATTAATGGTATTATTAAGCACGATATCTGCCCCATCCATGCCTAGTCCTTCCGAGACTATAGGATATCAGCTCCCAAGTTGTCAAAGACATCAGAAGTGTCTGCAACTCCTGTGCAGTACTTGTACCCATTGTTTGGGAAGCAATCGTCTGCGGTTCGGGTCTTGGCGGGACTGCCCTGAGGCAGCAGCGCTGGTTTGTCCCGCTGGCGGTGCTGTGGGAGGTGCCATGGCAGGTGCTGCGGTACGTGTATGGGCTGTCGTGTCCTTCGTCGTGCTGGGTCACAGCTGAACTCTTCGGTCCGTTGGCACGCTGCAGATAATGAAGTGTTGCAACGGGGTGTGGGGTGCAGTTATCCCGGCCACACCCCGTGTCACGGCCAGGGCGTCTCGCACTGATGATCTTGGTTTCGACCAGGCCCGCGGCGGCTCCCGGCGCGGCCCGTGCGCTCAGACGCCTTGCCCGGCCGGCTGACCCACAGCGGCCCTTCCGGCGCGGCCTGTGCGCTCAGACGACACCCCCGGCCGGCTGACCCACAGCGGCCCTTCCGGCGCGGCCTGTGCGCTCAGACGACGCCCCCGGCCGGCTGACCCGCAGCGGCCCTTCCGGCGCGGCCTGTGCGCTCAGACGACGCCCCCGGCCGGCTAACCCGCAGCGGCCCTTCCGGCGCGGCCTGTGCGCTCAGACGACACCCCCGGCCGGCTGACCCACAGCGGCCCTTCCGGCGCGGCCTGTGCGCTCAGACGACGCCCCCGGCCGGCTGACCCGCAGCGGCCCTTCCGGCGCGGCCTGTGCGCTCAGACGACACCCCCGGCCGGCTGACCCGCAGCGGCTTTTCCGGCGCGGCCTGTGCGCTCAGACGACGCCCCCGGCCGGCTGACCCACAGCGGCCCTTCCGGCGCGGCCTGTGCGCTCAGACGACACCCCCGGCCGGCTGACCCGCAGCGGCCCTTCCGGCGCGGCCTGTGCGCTCAGACGACACCCCCGGCCGGCTGACCCGTCGCTGGTCCTTCCGTCTTACGTATCGAGGGCTCGGCTACTATGCAAAGTAGGAAGGAATTGCAAAAAGAGGAAATGGGGATGCAGAAGGAATGCTACTAACAAGACAAAAGGATGTACACATGCGGCAGAACGTAAGCTTCGCCTGGCATTGTAACGCTGGTGCAAAGGTCATTCCTGGAAACATGAAGTCATTAGACTGGCGCATAGCGCCGAACCCAAGAAGAGAGAACACCAACTTTTGTAAAAACGAGTCAGAAGCACCTGATCATTGACTAGCGTGGCAGCTTTACTGCAGACAACGTGGAACACTTAGGAATGTTCAGAACGGCAGATAATCACTACGGTCTACAAACGCTCAACGAGTGCGTGTGTACGGCGCAAAAAGGCGCCCGGGGGCGCGGCCTGCAACAACAAATGCGAGTCTAGGTCTGCTAACTTGGAACTAAGGGAAACAGCCGGAGAGGTTGTGAAAAGATCACAACGTAGGACAAGGTGAATGCAGGGTTAATTTGAAAACGTTCCATGGCACAGCGCGCACCCCGTTTAGAACACATCTGCGAGTCTTGGCCTTGCTGTTTGGTGACAAGTCCTGCTGGTCTTTTCTCCAGTTTGTGTAATTTTGCATGGACCCTGACGGTGTCCGGTGCGAGAGAGCCATTCTTTGGTGTATAATACGCTATACCCAGCCCCGGGTGTTCACCGCCTTTTCGCTGTGATCGGCTCAGTGTGTACGGGCCGGCGACGGGACGGGGTCCGATGCCAAGTCAAATACATTAAGATTCGCCGCCCTCTTCGAGCGTTTGTTTATTTTGTAGCGGCGACTCTCATCCTCCTGTCTGCGACCATTAGTCTTGGCGCGAGATGAGAAGCACGTAGACACAGCATTGAACGGGCCACATTCCGCGCGGTAATGTTTATTATTTACTGCTGATCCTTTGTGTGCTGGCCGGCTGGTGGGGACGGGCCGCCGGCCCCGGAGGTGAGCTGAACAGCCGGCCGGGGCAGCGGGGTGTGAGCACGGGCGGCCGTCCAGTCCCGGCCCGCTGCCGGCCGGCCGAGCTAAATGATGACCCCGGCCGCAGCTCGTATATCCCCGCGGGACGCTGATTGCATCCGAAGACATCGGACGCACCGCATTGTCCCGCTCGGCGAGTTTACGGCCCCGGCAGGCTGCGGCCCGGCACCGGTCCGTCACCGGCCTGCCAGCCGTCTTGGGCTGCCGGGCCTGCCGTCCGTTCCTCATGCCCCGGACGCCTGGGTTTGATATCGCGCTTTTCCATGTCGCGGCGCCGTCCGCTGCCGGTGAATGCTCACCGTAAACCATAGCAACTTCTCATGTCGAAGGCCGCCGCTGGCAGCCCTAACAGCGCGGTAATATTTTTGGTCAGTTTCACAGGCTAATCGTTATTTACCGGCGGCATTACTGGCGTCGGTCGGCGGACGCGGCGCGGCTTGATTCGCGTTTGATAGCCGATAATTCGTGCGGCTAGGGCGGCCGCCGGTGTAAATCAGTGACGACCCGTCATCAGCGCAAATTAGCCGGGCTTGGCCGGCGGCTGCGGCGGCCCCGCCCCTCTCCGCTGCACG